TGCTAATTATTTATTAATATACTGTTGTAGGACTTGTAATTTTTTTTTAATATTAGGTAAATTTTTTTATATGTAACTTTGTCCTTATCTTTAAGTAGGATATAGTAGTTGTGTTTGTTATACTCTAGTAACTTAGGTTTTTTTGGTTGTTCGAAAAATTCCTAAAATCTCTTGTATTTACGTGGTAATCTTGGTTCTTTGTTAGCTGCTAGTTCTGTAGTGTTAATTATTTATTATAAGTTGATTTTTTCGTGAGAGCCTGCGTAATATTTAATAATAATTATTATTTAAGTATATTATTTTTTTATGTCTGGTGTCTAACCAGATAATTATATTAATTATTCTTTGTTAGTAGAATTAGTTACTGTTATAACTGTGTTTGTAACATCGTGCTTGTTATTATTAGTTAGTATATTTATAGGTTTATCCTGTAATCTCTTAGTGTCGACTTGGTAATTCTTGTCCTGAGTATGCTGTTTAGTCTTAGATGCTTTTATTATTTAGTTTTGTTGTAGATATTTATATTATATAAATTAAAGATTTTTTATTTTTTAATTAATTTCCGGGTTATAATTCTTAAGCTATAAAATCCCTAATATTATATTGTACTGTCCTAAAGGTGTTATGTCGAAATTTATTTACTTAAAATAATCTTTTATAACCATGGGTATTAGTCCTAATTTAACTGTGAGGCTATTTTTTAATAACTTGTTATTTAGTCCTGAAATAAGCTCTAGCCTTATTTTTATAATTTTTAAGATCTTTAGTCTCTTTTGAAATCTTGGGTCTATAAAGTTGCCTGTTGCTCTAGAGTCTACTATAACTCGAGTGTTTTAGTTTAAAACCTTAGTTATTAACTTTAGATGCAGTCCTTTCTGTGTTATGGCTGATAAACTTATTATTTAATAAGGTTTTTGTAATCTTTGTAACTGTTGTGGAAAGTATTATCCTAATTTAGTATTATAATAAATTAGATAATAGTTTTTGTAACATCCTTTCTAGTATTATGTATTGTGCCTCGGGTAAGCTAAGTATTTAATATAAGTATATTTTAGTTTTTTATAAGGGCATTCGCGTTTTTCTGAGTTCTGATATTTCTAAGTAATTATTTTTAATATTTTGTGTGCTGGGTAGTTATAGTTGTTATTATAATATATAATCTATGGAACATAATAATATTTTAGGTATAACTTATAATATAGATATTTATAATTGTCTCTTCTGCATGCGTGTGGTGACTAAATATATTTAATAATCTTGCTTTATAATACTATAGCCTAATTATAGTTATAGTTTTACTAGTTATATATGTTGCATGAGATTTTATATCTTATATATTTTAAATTATATATTAACTAGTTTTCAATCTGTGGGTTTTAATAATCTATTTTCTAATATAAATATTATATAAAGATACTTTATAATTCCCTGGTAAATTATGTTGGATTTTTCTTTAGTTCTTAGATTAGTTAGTTTATCTACTGTTCTTTTTCGATTTCCTGTATTAATTAGGTAATATGCTGATTGGCTATAATATTATCTCCCGGACTAGAGGCTTTATTTTTTGCTTAGTTATAATTAGAGGTATTTTTGCTTGCTTAATTATTTTCCGTATTAGTACTGCTAGTGCTGTCCTGATTAGGTATAATTCTGTAAAGGTTTTTATTAGATATCTTAGGTATTTTAGGGAGTCTCTTTGTATTGGGATTACAGCTAATCTACTAAGTCCCGTATTGTTTGTCTAAAGGATTAAAACTTCTTGATACTATAGTTAAGTTATAGTCTACTGGATCTGGCTTATTGTTAATAGATTTAAGAGATTTATTTGTCTGTTACTTAATAGGCTAATTATAATTATTACTGTTTGATATATGTAGGTCTTGGAGTTATTTTTTTACTTAATTATTATTATAATATATTATATTAAGAAGCTTCCCTGCTTCCTTTATAAATAGTTATAGTGAGTTTAAAACTCTAGCCTCTTCTATATTATTTAATAGTTCGTGGGTATTATGTGCTAATCTTGCACGTTAGTTATTTTTCTTAAGTCTATTTAGTTTATTGAGTATCTTTTCGTCGTATAGTGTTTGAGCTATCTATAGCGCGAATGCTAGTAACTTGCTTATATTATATGCTCCTTGGATATTAATAATTAGTTTGTTGAATTCTTTTGTGGCTCGGAGTTCTTTTTAATTATTTTTCTTGTTTTTATTATTACTCTGCTTTTTTAGAGCCTTGTATTATTAAGATATATATCTTACTTTTCCGCAGTTAAAGCATAACTATTCTTTTTGTTAATGTTTGATCTTGTCTTTCGGTACGTTCTGCTGTTGTTTATTAGTAGTATCTAACTTTATTAGTTATAGCTTATAAGGATTACTGTATCCTTAGCTTCTTAGTTATACTGATTATTTATTATTAACACAGTAACTGTTTATTTTTAAGTTTCCCTAGAATTAAAGTCTAGATTAATTTTCTTTTTTTTGAATATTAAAGTCATAGAGCTGGTTGTTAATCTTAATTACTTACTTAATTATCTTGCTAAGTATGTCTGGTCTCTTTATCTAGATTAATTTTTCTTAAACTTTATTTTTTAGGCCTTCTTCGAATCGTGCGATATAGGTGTTATTATCTTAATTTAGATGGGATATGGTTTGCTGAAATTCTGATCTATACTTAGTAACTGAGCTAGTTTACTTAAATTATTGTCAGATGAAATGCTAATCTGGGCTTATAACTATCAGATGGGGTAGGTAGGTCACGTGGGTTGAATAGAAATTTTAAATGACTAGATAGAATAAAGGAAATCGATCAGTCAGATGAAGTAAACAGTTCACCTGGACCACCTAGATCTGATGATAGACCAGAGGTCCTACCATTCACTATGCATGTAGATAGGTGAAATTGATTAATGAATGAATGAATCAATGAGTAAATTGAATAGATGAAATCAACTTGTCAAATTGAAACGGTAAAATCAACTTGTTGAAAAAAATGAATTAATGCAGGTTATTAACTGCATATTTATAGACAATAAAATCAGGGCTAATTTAATTTGGCCCTAAGCAAATATTACAAACATGAAATCATCAAATTCTTCTAGGCCTTTACCTGTGAGTCATATCATTAATCTAGGCCTTCAAGATCAACCTCATAGATCATCATTAGATCAATATTTAATCATTTAAATGATCAAATGATCAGGATTTCATGATCAGAATAATTAGAACAATCGAGATTTAACACATAAATCATAATAAAATCATTTAAATGATATCAGAATGACCAGGGTAGCAATATTCACTTTATGGCTTATAAAATGAATAGGCAAGATATTCTGGACCCTTTATATTGATTATCTGAACAAAGCCATTGATCGCAGTGGTTGAAATAAACTTTTAATTTCCTAAATAGGAAATTCATCGACTTATGTTTTCTGACTTTTATAGGATTCTAGCGACCGGTGATTTCCCAAAGAGGAAGGTAAGCTAGTCCAAAATAGGAAATTTTTTAGAAATTTTTCTTTTTCATTTTCCGCTTACATTGAGCTCAGTTTCACCTCACTTTTCCTATACAATTTGGTGGTGGAAGTGAGAGTTCAATGAAGTGACAGTAAAGTTGTAGTAAATTTTGAATAATTTCGGTTGTGGGGTTAGATCAGGTGATTTTGATGAATCAGGTGATGTCAGGTGACCCCATTTGACAATAAAGTACTTAGTGATAGTTATAAATGCCTACTTAAATAGAGAAGTCCAGTAATTAAGGATAAATAATAATTTAGTATTAGAAAGAAATATTTAAAAAATAATTTTTTAATTTTTTATAAATTAATTTATAAATCTGCTAATATATAATCTTAGCAGATAAAATATTTAGTATTAATGGTGCAAGCCGGGTATAAAAAATAAAATTACAGAATTTAGGATATTTAAAGAAAAAAAAATAAAAGATATAATATAATAAGAAGTTTTATAAGTTTTTACTATTAAATATATATATTAAATTTTTATATAGGTGTATTTTAAGCCTAAATATAGAAAAACTAATATAATAAAGATGATAATAAAATCCTAAATATATAGAATGCTTTAATGTAAGTTTAATATTTAGCTTTTATTTTTTAGCTAAAGCGGCTTTCTGATAAGTTACTTTATTATAATATTTATTTATTGAAATCATTCTATTATAAGCCTAACCAGGGTAATTAAGAACTTTTTAATATTACTAGTATATCATTTTTAACTTTTTATTCTTATTTAAAGTGACCTAATCAAAATATTTTTAATATTTTATATATTTCTTATTTTAAGTTATCTATTTCTTTTTTTTAAAGTCGGTCTAAAGCTACTAAGTCATAAATTTATTACTCATTTTTAAGAAATATAAAATATATATTCTGATCTGGTTAAGATAAATATATATAAGATATTTAAAAGCTTTTAAAAACTTATAAAAGATTTATTAACTTCCTAATAGAATAGGGGAGATGTTATGGGACTGCCCCCAGATATAAAAGCTCTGCCTAAGGCACCTCTTGGTGCCTAAGGCCTCGCGGCTACTAGCACTAGCGTACCACATAATAAAAAGATTCATACAGACACAAGGAATAGCTCTCCAGCTATTCTTTTTTATCTAAAGTATATTTAGAATAGAAGCTTTTTCTCGTCCTGTAATATTAAGAATAGCTTATTATAATAAAAGTCCTAGACAGAGTTCGACTAGGTATACGAACAGAATAGAAAGGAATTAAAAGAAAATACTAGGAAATAATAATAAAATAAATAGAACCAGAAGAATTATAACTGACCGCAGTATTTATATTAATAAATAATAATATTTAACTCCTATTATAAAAGTTAATAAACCTTTATACAGAGATAGCAAAACAGAAGTTAAATTTTAAAGAATAATTAAATAAGCTGCAAAGTAATAATATAACCCCTGTCTTAAATAACAAAAAAACTAGAAGCCTACTACTATAATTATATAAGCTATACTATAAACCTCGCGCCAGGTATCCCGACGTGGAATTATTTAATAAAAAAGATAAATATAACTACAAACTGTTTAAACTAAACATACGTACAAAACTAGTTAGTAATAGTAATTATTACCCGTCGGGACTAGAACAGGTCTTTTATATTTATAATAAATTACGCGGACAAACTATATAATAGATGCTCCCTTAGATAAAAGCCCAGAATCCTAAAACAGTTATATTAAACAAAATAATTATAATAATAGATAAAATATTTAGGGACTCTAATATACAATAAAAAGCCTTAAATTAAGTAAATATGATGAAGTAAGAGAAAATAAAATTAAAAGAATTTTTAGATAATTTTAATAAAGCCTTATTATAAGTAGGAGGCTATAGCTGGTTAGATAAATAGAAAAAAGTTATATTAAATATTACTATTAACTAAGAACTTATTAAAGGGCTAGTCGGAATCTCCTAAAAGCTTATATATAAAGATTATTATAATTAATTATACTAAGTAAATTATGATCTGGCCAGAATATCCTTTTTAATTAAAAGATATAAAGCTTGAATTATCCTGATCTGATAAAAATCTAGCCTAGAACTAATAGACTAGGTACCTATTTAAGTTATAATAGCCTAATAAGGATAATATCTCCTATATATAAAAATTAATAGTACTTAAAGAGAAACATAATAAATATTACTTACTAAGTTATAAAAAAGACAAAAAGCTAATAGCTATTTCTGCTATAAATAAAATAAATATCTTATTTAGAATTATTCTTTTAAATCTGCTATATAATTAATAAAAGTAACAGTTATAGTTATTACTTATTAAAAATAAGAAGAATAAATTACCTTCTTAAATAAAAGTTTAAACTCGGGAAAAAAATAAGCCTAATATAAAATTATATATATAAGCAGAAAATACCTGTTAAAATAAAAGAAGAATAAAACTATTTTAAATAAAAATATATAATTTTACTATTTTTTATAATAAAAATAATCCTTAATTTAACTATAATTACTTATACACTAGTTAACTCAGGATATCTTACTTATAATATTATTAGTAAAATCTTCGCATAAAAGAATAAACTAGCTGCTATTAATATTTATTTAAGATTAATAAAAAATATTTTAGGTAATAAATTTATAATTTACTTTATTATATAAACAAGGATAGATATTAAGTAATATTATAAAAAAAGAACTTATTTTTATATAATATCTAATAATTTAGGTTATAATTTAATTTTAGGCAAGAGCTAGTTAATTTGTTATAATAAAATTTTTAAACTTAGATAAGAATAGTTATTTCTCCATATAACTAGAATAAGATTAAAAGATTTATTATACTTATAATATACAAAACTAGATATTTAACTGGTATTTAGTTCCGAAGTTAAGAAGTACATGTGTTAAAGGATTAAAAAAGAAACAGAAGTATTTATAATTTTATTAGCTGATATTTAAAAAGCTTTGTATCTTAAGAAAACTATTAATTTATATATATTATTTTTTAATTATTATAAGGACTTTTTACTATTGTTCTAACTAGAGAACGCGGAAAAACTATTATTATATAAAGGAAAAGGGGTTAATTATAAGATTAAGCTTATATAATAGAATAAAAAAGAGCCAGAAGTTCTCTAGGGATTTTTATATAATATGTTTTGAGAAGAATTAATAGTCCTTTATTTAGAACTTATTAAATTACTAGAGAAGAATTTTATTTAAGTAAATTATTTATTTGTAGTAGCCTTAGTATTATTTGTATAAAAATTAAGAGGAGGACTTTGGTTCTGTGTAAATTATTAAGCTTTTAATATAATTATTAAAAAAGACTAGTACCCCTTGTTTTTAATTTATGAGATATTAAACTAGATTAAGAAAGTAAAGTAGTTTATTAAATTAGATATTTTATTTGCTTTTTATAAGATCCGTATCGCGGAAGGATAAAAATAGATAATTATATTTTATATATAATATAGATTATATAAATAGTTAGTAATATCTTTTAAATTAATAAACACCTCTAATATTTTTTAAAAATATATTAACTAGGTGCTCCGTGAATATCTTAATGAATTTTATTTAGTCTATATTAATAATATACTTATATATATAGATAGCAGTCTTAAAAAATATTATAAATATATATAAAAAGTACTACAGAAACTTAAGGATGCGGGACTCTTTCTAGATATTTAGAAGTGCAAGTTTAAATAAAAAGAAATTCTCTATTTAGGATTTATTATATAAGCAGGGGAAGGGGTCAAGATAGACCCTAAAAAAATTAAAATAATTATTTTATAAGAGAGCCTTAAGTTAGTTAAAAAGGTCTAAAGCTTTCTAGGGTTTATAAATTTTTACTAATAGTTTATTTCAAAATTCTCAGATATTATATAACCCCTTATAGATCTGATTAGGAAAGACTAGCTCTTTCTTTAGACTTTAGAATGTGAAATAAACTTCTAAATCTTAAAGAAGAAATTTATAACAGAACTAGTACTCTAGCCTTTTAATCTAGAATATATAATAATTATAAAAATAGATTCCTTAGGCTATAATATAGGGAGCATGTTATTATAGATAAATAAGAATAGAGAATTATATCCCTGCGTGTATTTCTCTAAGTGAAATATTTTAATAGAGTATAATTATAAGATTTATGATAAGGAGCTTTTAATAGTTATATGTTATTTTAAAGTATAGGATATTAAGTTATATTCTATATTAGAGTTTAAAATAATAATAGATTATAAGAATTTATAGTATTTCTTTAAGTTATGTAAATTAACTAAGAGATATGTATAGTAAAGCTTATTTTTAAGTAAGTTTAACTTTAAACTAATTTACCGGGAAAAAACTAAGAATTAAAGAATAAATGCTTTCTCTTAGCGTGAATAAAATATGTTTAATAATTATAATTCTTAGATATTCTCTTATATAATATAGATTTTCTACGAAATACTAGGAGGGTAAAAAAGGTTTAAAATAAGAATATTTGAAGCAGCCTCTGTATAAATTTTATAGAAGTAAGATCCTTAAGAACTAAGGAATAATTTAACTAATAATTAGGGATAAGTATTTATATAAGACTCTAAATATTAAGCTTTATAAGATCTTGTATGGCTGGGTAGCTATAAATTCCCTTTATAATTAGGTTTTAAGGTTTCCCCCAGTGAGTGTATAACAGATGGAAGGTTTATTTATTTTTAGGGACGCTAGTGGGTGCTAGTTTATAAATTACTTTATATATAATTTATTTAGGTAAATCATGATCCCTTAATCGTGGGGTATCTAGGGTGTGAGTAGATATATCTTAATTTTAGTAAGTAATATTATTGGCCAAATATATCCTATAATGTTAGGCGGTTTATATAAAACTATAATACCTGTAATTATATAAAGTTATAACAAGAATAGAAATATAGTCTACTGAAGCCTCTTTTAGTACCTAATTAATTATAATAAGAGATAATAATAGACTTTATTATTAATTTACTTAAGAGTAAGTCTCATATAAATCTTTTAATAGTTATAAACAAACTTATAAAGGGAATTATATTATATATAATAAAAGAAATTACTTCAGAAGTAATAATATAAGCTTTAATAAACATAATTCTCAGATAATATAGTCTCCTAAAAATAATTATATTAGACTATAGCACGTAATTTACTAGTTATATATAAAAAAGAGTATGTGATTTGTTAAAGATAATAAGAAAACTATTAATTACTTATTACCCCCAGACATTATTTATAAATAATTTAGAAGAGAGAATTACGGCCAGCGGAATTAACAGTAATTATAAATAAATTATAATAAATTAAAATAAAAGTATTGCCCTCATAGGCTTCTTTGTTAGATATAGTTAAATTAGCGAGAAGGGATTTATACGAGGAGATTAGATATTTTAGACTTAAAAAAAAAAAGAATAATAACCCTAATAAAAAAAAATAATATAATAGGGGGGGGGGAGGCCCCTCTTATATAAAATATTATATAATATATATAATCTTAGGAGACTAGCCTGGCTGCTCTTATAATATTTATCATGCGGCTTATATAATAAAGCTCCTTTTAGACAGCCAGTACTGTTAAAAGAGACTGACTTGTATAAATAATAGTATTAAGGAAAGGACTACTATATTAGATTTATTTTATACTTATAAGTTAATTTAATTATCTTGTATAAAGACAGCACACCTTATAGTATAAAAATATTAGAAAAGGAGGGCTATTATTATAGGACTACCCTTAGATATAAAAGCTTTACCTAAGGTATCTTTTAGTGCCTAAGGCCTCGCGGCCACTAGCACTAGCGTACCACATAATGAAAAGATTCGTACGGACGCAAGGAATAGCTCTCCAGCTATTCCTTCTTGTCCAAGGCACGTTTAGAACAGAAGCTTCTTCTCGTCCCGTAACAGGAGAAAAGCTAAAGTATAAAATTAATAATATATTTAAAGAAATCTGATAGTGGCGCATTATATCTAGAGGAGAGGAATATATTAAATAATTAAGATATATTAAAATTATATATAAAAAAAAGACTTATTAAGATTTTCTTTTAGGATTAGGAGAAGAGACTTAAAGATAAAAATATATATTAATTTTAAATTATTTAATTATTTATTTAATAAATTATATTTAAGACCTACTTTTTATTTAAATTTTTAAACTAATTAAATAATCTTTAAAATAGTTAGGATAATCCTAAGGGTAGTTAAAATAATCCTTAGGGTAATTAAAATTACCCTTAGGGTAGTCAGGGTCACCCTTAGGGTAGTCAGGGTGACCTTTAAAGTAATTAGGGTGACCCATAGAGTAATTAGGCAAACAGTTAAAAAGAAATTCTTTTTCCTAAATCTTATTTTATAGGAATTATACTCCAATAGTCTTAATATTAGCTAAATAAAAGAGTAAATTGCTATATAGATAAAATATAAACAGTATAATAATAATTATAATAATAATAATTTCATTTAATATAGCTTTTTTCAGATATTTTAGAGGACAAATATAGATAATATTTAAGTTTTACAGGATATAGTATAATTATATTATATATTTAAAATATATTTTTATATCTTTATATATTTATTTTATTAACTTTTTATATAATATATTATAATATTTATTTTAGGCCCAAACAAGGGCATGCTTAATATTATTAT